ATCACAATTAAAAGAACCAAAGACTTAAACTACTTCAGTCTGTGTGCATTGAATTGATTTAATACACGAGTTTCACAATTTGAGCTGAATTACTGAAATAAATGAACTTTTCCATGGCATTCAAATTTATTGAGATGCACCTGTATATATATATATATATATATATATATATATATATTATTGGTGTTAATCTGGCACCTGGTGCTAATTTTCTTAATTATATGACAAACCCTACCTTAACCTTAAAACCCTTAAAACCCTTTAATTGGCAGCATTCCTCCAGTTTTCACTGAGATTGCAAGATGGCGGTTCACTCTAAGGTGACTGAATCACTGCGACAGGAGGCAGTATAGAATATTGCGGCTTTACAATGACACTAATTCATTCAAGTCCCCCAAAAAGGCTGGTCGTCCACATAAGACAGAAGACGACAGAATAATGCAGAGATTCTCAGTGGGGAATCGGTTCAACACTGCAGCTGGAATTGCTTGCCAGTTCAGCGCTGAACAGGGTAAGGATCTGTCTCTGTATGTTTAAGAGAAGTCGGATTGAAAGCACACTCTGAAGTGATGAAGCCTCTCATCAGCAGAAAGAATCAAAAGGCTAGGCTGACCTTTGCTGAGGAGCATGTTGTGTGGAGAGAGGAGAACTGATCCAAACTTCATTTTAGTGATGAGAGCAAGTTTAATTTATTTGGGTCTTGTCAAACTGAGGAAAGACTGAAGCCCGAGTGCGTAAAGAAGTCAGTGAAAAGTGGAGGAAGTGTCATTGTTTGGTGGATGTTTTCTGCAGCAGGAGTTGGGCCTCTTATACCGCTACATGGCAGGGTGAATGCAAATGTTTATCAGAACCTCCTTCAGCAACATGCGGTACCTTCCCTGCAAGCATCTCCCAGTCAGCCTGCAATTTTCATGCAAGACAATGCCACCGTCACACTGCAAAACGGGTAAAGCAGTTCCTTGAAGCTAAGAACATTGAAATAATGAAATGGCCATCCCAGAGTCCTGATCTAAACCCAACTGAAGAGTGCTGCTACTGCTACAGTGGTTACTGTTCTCTAATTTTGATCATTGTGTCTTCAAATTTTGAGCACTGAAGATTAACAATATATACTGTATG